TCTAAGGTGGGAAGAACCCAGAAGAGCTCCATTGGGAGGGGGAATTGGCAGAAGGGAGAATTCAGCTCCATATGAGAGCACAAGTAGCACAAGCAATGCACTGATAGAATTATTAAGGCCCCCCCCAACCCCATAAGAGTAACCCTAATAAATGAGCATACCCAAAGTAATGGGCAAATCTGGTAACACCACGCCCCTTCCCCATCCCCTTTCAGGGACCCCTCTCATGAGAAATTGCTTCTACAAGAGGTAGAACATCTCCTAGGACTTGGCACCATAGAAGTAATACCAAAAGAATACAGGGGCAAGGGATTTTAACTCTCACTATACCCTCACCACCAAAAAGTCAGGCAGCTGGATACCTATATTAGACTTCTGCAAGCTCAACTGTTTTGTCAGATTCTAACGATTCAAGATGGTCACTCTAGCCTCCATCATACCTGCCTTGGAAAAAGGAGCACAGCTGTCTACCCTTGACCTCCAGGATGCTGATTTCCACATATCAATACATCGAGCACACAGGAGGTTCCTCTGTTTTACTATAAAAGACAGACACTTCCAGTTCAGAGGACTACGGTTCAGACTCTCAACAGCCCCAAGAATATTCTAAAAGGTACTGGCAGTAGTAGCCACACATTTGCACAAAAACAGCATTTCAATATTTCCGTACCTAGACGATTGTCTAGTAACGAGCCACACACGGCAGGGGACACACGATGCTGTCTCAAGAGTGAGAGCACTCTCCAACAGTCTAGGGCTCCAGATAAATGCTGCAACATGCACTTTGACTCCAACTCAATCTCTGGAATGTATAGAGGCACATCTAGATTGCATAAAGGCCAGAGCTTACTTACCTCACCACAAATGGATCGCTATCAGGGACCTGATAGCCAAAGCCAGCTGAAGCTACAGGCTGACTGGGCAATTGGAAAAATGGAAAAGGTTCACAGCCTGGTATGCAACCCATACCTATGAACCTGCCGAGACAGGAATCTCACATATTCTCCAGTACCTACTAAAACTACCACAATGCAGGCCTATCCATGAGCTCCATAAGGGTACACCTTGCCTCCATTTCTGCTCTTCATGCCCCTATACAAGAACACAATCTTCACGCACCTGTCTGTCAAACATTTTCTACAGGGTCTCCACAATGTTTCATTTCCTCCACTCACGGATCCAATCCCTGCACGGGACTTGAACCTAGTGTTGAAAGCCCTCATTGCTGAACCTATCGAACCTCTTGCCACTTGCTCACTACTACACTTATCAATGAAGGTGACCTTCCTTGTAGTGATCACATCTGCCAGACGAGTGGAAGAAATAGCTGCATTAATGGCAGATCCCCCTTACACAATATTCCATAAGGACAAGCCCCATAAGGACAACAAAGAAGCAGCTCTCCATACCCTCGATGTCCGCAGAATGGTCACCTTCTACCTATAATGAATGAAACCATTTAGAAAGACTCCATGACTATTCGTTTCATCTACAGAGAGATCGCAGAGATTGCCCATATCAAAGCAGAGATTTTTGACATGGATATCCAGCCGCATTAAACTAGCGTATACCCTGGCACAGAGAGCGCCCCCCTCCACCGTGCGGTCTCACTCAACAAGAGCCATGGCAACAACAATGGCATTCCTACAGGGAGTGTCCACAGAACACACATGCAGGGTTGCCGCATATGCTTCAACACATACATTTGTGCAGCATTATGCCATCCAGAAATTTGCTGAGGCAGAAACAAGATTTGGCCAAATAATACTTTTGGGCACAGACCCTCAGCAGCAGAAGCTCCCACCTCCTACTACGAATACTGCTTCACAGTCACCTAAGGTGGAGCACCCATGAGGACACTCCTCAAAGAAGAAGGGAAGGTTACTCACTTGTGCAGTAACTGGAGTTCTTCAAGATCGTTGTCCCGGTGGGTGCTCACCCACCCATCCTCCTCTTCTCTGCTTCGGAATACCACAAGTTCGGGTCAGAGAAGGAACTGAGAGAGCCTGCCGGCCACCTATGTGCAATAGTCTCCTTAGAATACACACCAGCTTCTCGCACGTGCTGCCGGCCACAGGACACTGCTGGCACAAATCTCCTATCGAGGGCTTAGCTGTGCCAAATCACCTAAGTTAGAGCACCCACGGGGACAACCATCTTGAAGAACTCCAGGTACTGCACAGGTGAGTGATCTTCCCCCTACTTGTTCGAAGCAGTTATACATTCTGTATATATTTAGTGAATGGGAGTGTTGTCTTTGGAGTGGTGGGGAGGGGATGGTATTTTAACAATATTGCAGTGAATAGCTGAGCCATGATGGACAGCTGGACTGAGAGATTTAATTCTCCCTTTCCAAAGTAATGGTAATTCAGGTTTGTAAGGAAAATCTTGGATTAATTCAGCACTAGTGAAAATTACTGATGCAACCAGTGGGACCAACAGAATTGCTGGGCATCTGGGCAAGGTGGGGGGAGGCCAGCTTGGTGCTCACAGAAGGGGTGATCTCAAGCAGTAGGGATGGGGTTGGAGGCTAGTCTCCCCCTGCTAGCCTTTCAACGCCCTCCCAGCACTCCTGTGGTAATTGAAATGGCCCAGGCCTCCGTATACTGCCACAGAAGCAGTGTCAGCTGGTAGCCCCACATCCTTTTGATTTGCCAGGGCCCAGGGCTACTGCCTGAATTGACCCTTCACAGCAGGTCTCTCCTCCCAACTTGTGATAGTCTCAGAGTTACTGCGCTTTCAAAAAGGAAACTGAATGACTTCAATTTTACTGTACAATGCCAGACTTCTCAGATTTAGGCTTCTGATGTGAGTGAGTTTGTTATATTTTATGCCTAATTTTTTTTTCAGAGACTCACTCTGTGCTAATAGATACATTGGTTAGAACAGCTCTCTCATTTACACTGCTGCTTTTCCTTATAGCCATTCTCTCGTCAGCCACTAGAGGATGCACATGTGTCACATGATCTGTGTTTTCTTCCTCAGAAATTGAGAACATCCCAGTCCCGTTGACCTGCGTTTTTAGTCCCCACAGCTCTATTTAAATGTGATCCTTCTAGGTTGTACTGCAGTGATACTCAGACTGAGGCTCTTGATCTGCAAGTGGCTCTTTAATGTTCCTCCTGCAGCTTTTTGTAGCATATGATATTAAAACACTGCACACCTTAAATATGAACCAATCAGAATGCTTTTACTATATTATTAACCAATTGCAGTTGATAAAATACTTGGTCAGTCATTTTGCTGGGAGAATGATATGTAACATTTCCCTCGTCATACTGAAAATATATTGTACTATAGCAAATGAAATGGCTCTGCTTTTTAGCAGGGGGTTGGACCTCATGACCTCCTGAGGTCCTTTCCAACCCTATGATTCTGTGAAGCAATGGCTTCACATAACTGTGGCTCTTTTCGGTAATGCTGATTGCTAGCTTGGCTCAAATCACGGAGGTCTGAGCACCACTGATCTAATACATTGTGTTAACACCTGAGCACTTTTCTATTATTTTTAAAATCACACTACATTTTTTCCAGTTTGCTTAATCCACTTTTTTATTGTAGAGGTTTACAAACTAATCTCTTTCTTTCTTTTTTTGTTTCTGAGAAAGCATGAGAATAGATGAAGAGGGAAAGGAAACAGAGAAAAAGGAAACACTGTTATGAACTCCTTTTGGAAAGAATAAAATCTTTATTAGCTAGGTTAGGAAGAATTAGCTTTATTGGTAAATGTTAATTTCACCATATACACAAACTGATGAAAAAGTGCAGTATTTCTATAAATAGTAATAGAAGTTTACAGATAAGCAAAGAAAAATGTTACTTGAGAACTTATTAGGATTTAAGGGTATTTGTTTCATATATTTTAATGTGACATTGACCATTTGTGTTTTCACCATTATAAACCTTTAATTTTTTGAGCCTTCATGTCTGTCATTAAAGAATTTTTCTGAGCCCTCATTGGTTAGTGTCCCATAATTTCCAACAACTGTGAAAAATTAAATTAATAGAACTAGAGAAATGCTGATAGCCAATGAAAATATATAAAAAAAAATGCCAAGTTTAGTTAGGGCATAAAAGGCAGTAAAACTATATACATGCATTGCTATTGTTGCTGTGTGGTGTAAGTGCGTACTATAGTTGCCACAAAGATGCTATGTGAGCACGTTTGGGGAGCCACCTCCATTTTTGTTCAATCTCTGTATTATAACAGTTAGTCCACAAAAAGGAAAATGGGTGAGACTCTCTAGATTCTGTATTGCACTCTCTATACACCTTAATATGGTCTGTAGAAAGCGTTAAGGGCTAAAATAGCATCTCTTATGTATTAACTAGTGACGACAAAGCAGAGATTCCCTTCTTAATCATCTGGCCAAATTCACCACTGGGTAACTCTGCTTTAGGCAATTATTTTTCATGCCTTCTTGGAAAATCTCTCCCCCACTCCTTGGCTCATTGTGATTAGCCAATACATTGATCATCATGACTCAAACAAATGTTTCTGGATTTTAGGTTGTGTTATATTTAGTGAGTGTATTTGATAGAACTTTTTTCTGTCTTCTCAAGGCTAGTTACAATCTACTTTCTTTCTGGCTTTGCACAAGCTTACATTTTGTAGTTACTGAAAATTATTCCTTTAACTGCTCCCAAAACATATAAGGGTGAACAGAGAAGGCTATGTACTAGAATGGTGTTTCTAGTTATAGGTACAAGTAACTTGAACTGTCATATACAAAATACTTTTCTTTTTGACACATCTTTTTATCTTGGACTTACATTCGTTTGGTAACAAGCATCTCTTTATATCTCTGGGCTTTGACATTCTAGTACAATGTAACCTATCATATGAAGGCACAAATCCACTAAATAGTAAAATGAGGGATTATTTCCACTGCTCATCTGTTAGCAGAGATTGCTCTAAATTGGATCAAACCGATTAAAGGTATTAGAATGACGTCTTGTAGATCCAGATGAACTCATTTGAAACTTTGAGACTGTTTCTCTTTTGCTTGGAAGTGACTGCCAGAATTAGGTGTAGGTGTTATTTGCAAGTTATCTCTATTAATATGCAATTTTTTATTTGAAATCTCTGTTATTTGCTTCTTTGGATCTTAGGTTAGGGATCTCAAGATGGAAGGACCAAAAAATGGCTCACTTAAAAGTATGCAACTCACCGTCTTTTTAAAGGCTTGAACAGTTCCTTTCTAAATTTGCTTACATTCAAGAAAAGGATTAATATCGTGGAATCTTTCAGTATCCAGTATTACAAAGATGGCACTACTGAAAGTTAAATTCAGCCAGAAGAAAAGGGTAAAATTAGCTCAAGGACTATGGCTCATGAACTGGTTTTCAGTGTTTGCAGGAATAATTGTTTTTAGTATGGGATTGTTCCTCAAAATTGAGCTCCGGAAGCGAAGCGAAGTAATGGACAATTCTGAAAGCCATTTTGTGCCCAATTCTTTGATATTGATGGGTGTATTAGCCTGCGCCTTCAATGCCCTTGCTGGCAAAATTTGCTATGATTCTCTGGATCCAACAAAATTTGCAAAGTGGAAGCCTTTGCTGAAACCTTACCTGGTGTTATGTTTCTTATTTAACATCTTCATTTTTTTCATTGCTCTGATTTGCTTTCTCACGAGGGGCTCTCTGGAGACAACATTAGCACATGGGCTAAAGAATGGCATGAAGTTCTACAGGGATACTGATACCCCAGGAAGATGTTTCATGAAGAAGACAATTGACATGCTCCAAATTGAGTTCAGATGCTGTGGAAACAATGGTTTCAGAGACTGGTTTGAGATTCAGTGGATCAGCAACAGATACCTGGATTTTGGCTCCAAAGAAGTGAAAGAGTAAGTTATAAAATATAATTTACATTACAATATATCATTATTTGATCAAATACACACTAAAAATCCATCTTGAAACAGAGATGGAATTACAAAGTTGTTATACTACTTTTGGTTAGGATGGGTTTTCTCTCCATTATACTTTAAATCTGGAGACGAGCATTCCAAGGTATGCTTTATCTTCTGACAAGTTCACCCATGTTATCCAGAACATAAAAATGTAGTACTTTGAGAGATCATCCTCTTTTTTATTCAGCCTTAAATATTAAAGAGCTTTACACTATAACTATGAGAAAGGTAGATAAATAAGGATTATTCTTCCCAATGTACAGTTATGGAAACAGCAACAGAGATGTTAAGTGACTTGCAAAGGACACCTGGCAAGTCACTGGCAAAGCTAAGATTAGAACACAGTTCTCTAGAGATGCTTTTATGGCTACACCTATGATACAGGAGGCATAACTTCAACTGGGGGTAAACGGTCATAGCTCCACTGAATTTTGGTAAAGGTTACTTGAGATCACTCCAAGAATATGAAATGAGAACAGAGCAATTAATTGCCTTAATGCTATAGTGTTTTTTTCTTTTATTAATTTACCTCAAGCTTTAATACTTCAGACTAAATGAAAACTAAAATCAACCAGCCCTTATTAGCGTTTGCTGTTTTTCTTTTATAAAATAGATATGTCCTTGAAATCTAAATGAACATATATGACACACTGCTAAGTTCCTGTTGGCCTCATATGGTGTCAGTTTTTCATAGAAATCGGAACAGATTATTGACCAGAAACACCTTAATGGCTTGGAGGTCAGTGTACAGGAAGGTCTTAATCTCCAGTTCAATTCGGGTACATAAATTCCACTCCAAAAAATAGAGACCAATTAACTTTTAGAATTAAAAAAAGATATCAGCATGAACACCCAGCAACCTCTTTGCCAAGTTTAATATCTAAGAACAGATTGAGTTGCAGAAAATGCCCTTAGCTATAAATATCTACTTGAAAACATAATACGATATTCACCCCAGTAGTATTATCTGAAGAGTTGTAAGCTGTAACTTAATCCATCAACAACAGAAAAGCAAAGCACTGGGAGAAAACAGGATCGTATCCTGTTTAAAAAATAGGGGGCTTTGCTCAGGAATATGAGATCTTGGCCATTTCCCTGTAGATTTTTCTGAGTACTAAGGTGGGAAGTTGAAACTTTAAAAAAATAAATCAGCTACCAACCAAGTTGAGTGTCTTGGCCCAATTTTGATCTTTAATTCATAGGCAGAGGGGCTCAGTATAGTCATAGGATGCATATCTAGGGTGAGATCCAGGCATCAGTGAAGTCAACCACAAATCTATTGATTTCTTTGCAGCTAGGATTTCATCCCCAACATTTGATTTTTCTTTATAAATATAATTCACGGTCTACTGAAATAAATGGAATTCTCAGTATTCACTTCAGTGGGAGTTAGAATAGAACCTAAGCATGCTACCTTCAAACTGGATTCTGTTTGGTATTCAGAGATATTTGGGATATGGTTTCAAAACTGTGCACCTACAAAACAATTCATTTGTGCATGCTGTACCGATTTTGCTGGTAGTTCACACTCACTTTGTCTCACACATGTATACTTGAGTACACACACATGCACACATGTTTTGCAGTCTCCATCATGGACCATAACTTTGAAAATGCAGCCCTTATTCACAATTGAAGGTAATGGAAGCAGGATATTTCAGGGTTTTAAAATTTCCCAAAATGTTTTGTTTACTTTACACGTGGGAGTCTGTTTCACCTGAGCATCAACTGTTAAGATGTTAGAAAAGCTGAGGAATATTTTCTGGAGGTCCAGCTCTCAAACTATTTTTTCTCTTCTTAAATTTTTGGTTGAAACAGGTTCAACTTTTACAGTAACTAGGTCCTTTATAAATATCTAGCTGGACACACTGAGACACATACAATGAGATAAAATGGTTATTTTACTGAGTACTGAATTTGAAAATGGTATACAATAGGCTAATTACTCCTGCACAGACATCCAGGATGCTTGAACATCTCATTGCTAAAGCATATTTGTTTTAAATCCTGGATAACTTTAGTGAAAGTCAATTACTTTGTCCTACTATTGGCCATTGTCAAAGAAAAGATGATGGATTAGTGGTCTTGTTGGGTACTCAAGACTCATGACTGTGATAGATTCTTATGAGTGGTCATGGACGGCAATAATCCTCTCCGGTTACCTCTTACAAAATTTACCTCTGTCTCTAACATTGTTTTAATTTCCCATATTACTGGAGAAGGGAATGGAAATGGAATGTTGCCGTTATGGAGTAAATGTTACAAAACATAATTCAGCAAAGAGGATGCCTAGTTCTGTGGAGAGGAACAGGTTCAGGCTTTTCATGGTAAGTGTACACAAGTGAATATATGAAGGATGCAGGCTAGGTTTTTAGAATGTGATCATAAAACACTGTGGAAAAAATATTTTGCCTTTGGTTCCCCCTCTCACACCTATTAAAGTTCTCACTCAGCTGAATATTATATATGCATTTACAACCTTCTTCTGCTTTTTGCCTGTCCATAGTCGAATTAAAAGCAATGTGGATGGAAGGTTCTTGGTTGATGGAGTCCCCTTCAGTTGCTGCAACCCTAGCTCCCCAAGACCCTGCATCCAGTACCAAGTTACTAACAACTCGGCTCACTACAGCTACGACTATCAAACAGAGGAGCTCAACTTATGGAACCGTGGCTGCAGGGAGGCACTTCTTCACTACTACAGCAGCATGATGAGCTCCATGGGCGGGGTTGTCCTCTTTGTCTGGCTTTTTGAGGTAACATGCTGACATAGCAGTTTCTCCTTCTGTGTGTGTTTCATTAGAACAGTGATTGTAGAAACCCTCTGTGGTGTTATCCATTGAAAAATGTAATTCTTATCTAGTCCATGGATGGGAAATCTAAAATAATAGCTAATGCTTAGTGTATGGCCTTGGGGAAGCCAACTTACTCGCTGGGCCCCAGGACAAGGTGTGAGGGGACAGCTCTGCACTCCTGAAAGATGCGGGACTGAAGGTAGCTCTGGAGTGCACCACATAGGGCTCCTGTGGCAATTTAGGGGCCCAGGGCTCTGCCTGCCACTGGCCAGGAGTGCTGGGCCCTTTTGAATCTCTAGGCCCCAGGGCAGTTGCCCCTTTTCCCCTGGTGGGCCTGTGTTGCCTACAATATTTTGTACTGTGTATCAGAACTAGCCAGCCAACAGAGAAAACAGGTATTGAGATATCATGGAAGATGTTCATTTCTGCTTTAATACAAATTCAGTTGGAGAAAATATATCTGTATGGGGCCAATATGTGTGTGTGTGTATCTATTTTGGAGCAGAAAATGAAAGTAAAAAATTCAGAGAATCCATCTAGCCATTCCTAACATTTGACTCTGGAGCCAGGTTCAAGACTAGGGTTTTTATTTAGGCCTTCTGGCTAATTCTGTCAAACTTCTTGCATGTAAAGGATAGGGTTACCAGTTGTCCGGTTCTGAACTGGACAGTCCAGTATTTGAGCTTTCTGTTCGGGAAACAAATTGACAATATATAAACGAGAAAATATAAATGTCCAATATTTTCTAAATAAGATGTAATGTAGATTGTTATGTAATGTCAAGTGTGTCCAGTATTTTTGTTGAAACCGTCTGGCAACCCTAATAAAGGATAGGTTAGTGTTTCAAAAGAATAAGTTAGCTGAATTGGCTAGATGTACAACTTCCATTCTGCTTTTAAAAATTATAGTATGTATTGGTTAGGTGTCTAAAAACAGCACATTGTATTTATTCGTGGATACCATTCCCTATAGTGGAGTTTTGTTTTTAAGCTACATTCTGTACAGCAAGAGGAGGATGTTTTCTGGATTTGGGCAAATGCCAACTAAGTGGCTACTGTATTTATGAACACTGAAATGTGAACAGCATCAGTTCATCGGCTGGAAATGGCATGAGGGAATGGATACTGAGTTAGCTGGGTTAGCAGAAGGGAGCTGTGTCAGCAGGGAAGGGTGCAGTTCAGGCTGAGAAATGTAAGGAAGCATACTTTGCAGTATACCTAAAATGGCTGCTGCCAGCCGAGAGCAGCCATTTTAAATATTTCATTATGATGCAGAGTTACTTTAACTTCAAATAAATACAAATCAAACACGTTATATCTCTAATATAAAATGATGGCGTGCTTCTGCATATATTTACTTCCTATCTAAAAGGCCAAATTTCTTTATTATTGGCAAATACAATTGAAACCTTCAGCTTCCCCTACACCTCTAAAAATCATTTGCAAACCCAAAGGAAAAAACAGAATATGCCGTGTTTGAGGTGGGGGGGGAGGCGGGGGGTAAAAGGAACAATCACCAAAGACAACTGATGTTAATAGTTCTTGTAAAAACATATAATCTGGGGGGGAAAAAAATCAACTAGCAACTTTATGGAAAACTAAAGCCAAGAAACTTTACAAACAAGAGGCTGGAAATCAGTATTTTATTTATACGGATGTATATAAAAACAGGCAGTTAATTACAGGATTAAGGAGAAGACTATACGGTAATGTTAATCAAGTGTAAATTGAAGCATGAATCAGGCCCCAAAAATCTTGAAATTGATAAATAATAAAATGAAATAAAATCAGGCAGGTGCACTCAAGTCACATTTTCAAGATTGTTTCTGTAGCAGTAAGGGGTGGAGGGGTTAATTTCTTTTTAAATGAAAAGTGTGGTTCTCATACAAGCAGAGGATACCAGGAAGTGAGTTTCCTGAAAAACATCATGAGATTCATCATACAACCACGAGAAATGGAAATGCTGGAAATATTTATGGTTTTAAAGTCCAATCTCATATGTGGACAGCCTGATGTTGTAGCGTCAGAGAAAAGGATCCAGATTTTGGTTTTGAGCTTGCTCTGCTCTCAAGAGGGGCAGCCCTCTGTCTAATCAGCTGAAGGAATCACATTTATGATTGTCCCCGAGCAGCAAAGGGAAGGCTGCCATTACAAAAGGCCCTTGAAAGGAGGAATCACGCTAGGAAACAATCACCACTTGATACAATGATGTGTCAATTCTTTCTTTCAGTTTGTGTGAGTATTAAATAGGAAAACAATTCTACCCTGAGTAACAGGTTACATTTCTAAAATCCAGGACTCTCTGGTCCTGCAACATCTGTGGTCCGGCAAACCCCAGCGGGGCCAGTGCAGGGGAGAGAACAGCCCTGGCCAGGGCTGGTGGCAAAGAGCACAACTCCAGTCAGAGCTGGAGGTAGTGGGGCCGGTGGCCAGGAGCAGAGTCCCAGTCAGGTTGTGCTTCTCACAGCGCCAGCCCCTCGTCAGGGCTGGCACGGTTCAGGAGCACAATCCAGGCTGGGGCTAGCGGCGGGGAGCTGAAGTCAACTGGGCGCACAGCCCGGAGTGGCACCGTGAGGAGCAGAGCACTGCTGGGGCTGGAGGCAGCGGGGCCGGCCTCTGTCTGGGGCTGGCATGATGAGGCACGCATCCCTAGTCACAGCTGGCATAGTGGTGGAGGGTGGCTGGTGGCAGCGGCAAGGAGTGCAGCCCCATCCGGAAGCAGAGCCCACATCCAGCTAGGGAGCCGGGACCTCCCCTAGTCCGACAAACTCCATTGTTCAAGGGTGCTGGAGGAGGGAGGTCGGACCTGTAGTAATAAAAGGACGCTAACCTTTGGTCCTGGGGGGAAATTCAGCCTACTTACAAAATGAAATTGGACAGAGAATTATCCTTCACGTTCTAAATAAAAACAGTAACACAGGATCGGACTAATGGTTCATCTAGCTCAGTATCCTGTCTGACAGACTATGCTACATGCTTCAGAGGAAATGAACAGAACAGAGCAATTATTGAATGAGTCGTCCTGTCCCAGCTTCTGGCAGGCAGAGGATTCAGTACACCCAAAACATGGGGTAGCATCTCTGACCAGATAGGCAAACAACGCATTCATGGAAGATTGGTCCATCAATGATCTAATTCTTTCTGAACCAGTTTTGGCTTTTGCATTATTGCACAGTAACAAGTTCCACAGGTTGTGTGTTGCGTGACTTTTTTTTTCTGTTCTTTTGTAAGTGGTACAGCCTCTTAACTTAACTGGGTGCCCCTAATTCTTGAGTTCTGTGGAGGGGTAAATAACACTTCTCTACTCACTTTCCCCACACCACTCGTGATTTTATATACCTCTATTATATCCCCCCTTTAGTTGTCCCAATCTCTTTATTCTCCCCTCTTATGGAAGCTGTTCCACCCCAAATCATGTTCATTGCCCTTCTCTGAACCTTTTCCAATTCTATTATATCTTTTTTGAGATGGGGTAATAACCGGAACTGCACACAGTATTCAAGATGGAGGAATATCATGGATTTATATAGTGACATTAGGATAATTTCTTTCCTAAAAGTTCCTAACACTGTAAAGCTTCTGTGACTACAGCTGCACACAGAGCAGATGTTTTCAAAGAATTAGCCACAGTAACTTCAAGATCCCTTTTTAAAGTTAATTTAGATTTCATCATTTTGTATGTATAGTTGGGATTATATTTTCCAATGTACATTACTCTGCACTTAATGAATTTCATTTGCCATTCTGCCACCTAATCACTGAGTTTAACAAGATCACCTTGGTAGCGCCTCACAGCCAGCTATGGACTTAACTATTGTAAGTATGATTGTATCCTCTGCCAATTTTGCCATTTCTCTGTTCACTCCCTATTCAAGATCATTTGTGGCTGTTATACAGAATAGTTCCCTGAGGGACCTGTCTACTTACCTCTCTTCATTGGGGAAAACTGATCTTTTATTCTTACTCTTTGTTTCCTATCTTTTAACCAGTTTCTGATCCAGGAGAGAACCGTCCCTCTTATCCCATAATTGTTTAGTCTGCTTAAGAGCTGTTGGTAAGGGACCTTGTCTAATGCTTTTGGAAAGTGCAACTTCATTATATCAACTGGATCACCATCATGTTTGTGGACACCCTCAAAGAATTGTAATAGATTGGTGAGGTATGACTCCCCTATACAAAAAGCTATTTCTCCTATTTTATTTTATTTTATTTTATTATCTAGGGTGGCGAAGAAGCAACATAAAAATCCCACCATAGCTTCCCCTTTTGGCTTTGTAGCTGGAAACAGTGAGTTCAGAGTAACTAGTAAGCACCATTCTGGATTTCAGAGCTGTGTACGTTCCCTCAAATTGTATCAGTGATACTGACACTCAAAGAGGAATAAAAGACAAAGAGACTGACTCCACCTGTCTTTGGAACCACTGTCAAGTACTGTAAAGATCACTTAATTGCAAGCTTCTATGGGAAACATTAGAAGCACAGAGTCTATAAATTGTAATCAAAGCTTCTGTTTATAAGAACATGGGACCTGCCATGTCCTCTTGGAACACTTACAAGTTAAAACATTGCCTCTATAATGCTTAGATGAGCCAAAAATTTAGACTCTCTACGTCACTGACAATCTTTAATATAACAAAGAAGTTCAAACTACCTTCTGGCTAATCTGCTTCAGGTTAAAGTCCAGGTAAACCATTGAGCTTCACCTCTGAAGGTTAGCAAATATAAGATCTGATGACTTTTCCTACCAGTTTTAACCAGTACAGAAAGCAAGTTCCAGACTTGAGGACAGTCCAGGGAATGCACACTGAAGATTACCAGCAGCGATGGCTCAAATTATAACCAAGAGTCTCAGGAAACATGGTATGAAAATAGATATAACTAGATCTCAGTTGCCAGATGGGCTCAGAGTGCAAAGTGATTTCTTACATAGACCTCATGTAAAAGAAGAATAAACCAAACACT